GGGGGGGGAGAGAGACAACAAGAGACAGAGAGGCACAAGGCAGCTCGGGAAACTATTAAATAAACTTGAACATATATAGATCTTGTCAGATGATCTATATAGGCTGGAGAAGAGATAATACTGATTTGCCAAGGGCATGTTGGAATTGATCTTTTGCTAGTGTTACAAGCAGAGAATGAGGAAGAAATACAAGGCAATTATCCCAACAGCAGAGTACGCTATCTGTGCTAGAGTGGGAGACAACGAAGAGAAATTCAGTTTGTCGGCCGTGCTTCAGAGCTTTCTTGCCCCCCTGAAGTTTGTTGGACTCTGTTTACATTTCAGCTGCCTTTTGGGCAGATTAATCAGTGTTAATGCTTTTAGTTTGTCTTTGATACTTTGAGTAATCTCATTTCCAACAGTATTGTTTCTTCTTGTGAGTGTCGGCACGGGAATTTTTCGTGCGTGATACCCCAGGCAGGAGATGTACCCAAGTTAGGAGTTCTGCTCCTGCCGTGCTGTGCGAGCGTACGGCCTGCACATGCACATGGCCTGCACAACACAACACCCTCACGTATTCTAGGTATTTAGGTTACATGTGAAGAAGAATAGCGGATTACATTGTAATGAAAATTTAGTATAGATACTAGCATGTTGTTATTATAGTCTATAACAATACAGATACATTGAAAAAATGCACAGAGGAATGAAAGGTTTTGTCAGGAATCCATAGGAAAACATTCCTAGAAATTACTAGCTTTGTTATTTAAAGGAAAATTTCTTCTGGGAGAGGGAAGAGATGGTAATTGGCAATTTTGTTCAGAGCTTCGCACGCTAGCTGCATGATTACCATGCTGCCACCATATTTATATGATCTGTACATATTAAATTCGCAGAAGAAAACGTCATTAAATAAGGAGCAGACGAATATAGCAATTAAAGCATAGGGCTGTGGTCGCTGTTCATAGCTGTGCCACAGATTTACTTGGGCAAGTATGAACTTGGGAAAGTCATTTAAAGCATTAGTGATTCAGTTTTTCCCATTTGTAAATTGGGAAACTATAGTCGTAACCAATAATAGAAGTATTAGTACTTGCCTGAAAGGATTTAAAGTAAAGCGTGCCTGTTGTTTCTGACGTGATTTAGAATCCTAAAGTGAATGCACTTACATCCTGCAAAGTATTACTAACTGCCCTCAGACACCAACATAACAGTCATTTAAAAAGATTAGCTATCTAGCTTCAAACCTCAAAATCAAGCATACAGTTGGTCAAATCCTCATCTCAGATACACCAATATGACACATTGTAAATTTGCATCATTGGTCTGTGAGGGACAGCACTCAACATACCAGAGAGGAATATTCAGATTAACATTGCATATGCCGCTGTATACAGATACACACACACTTTTACAAATCACATACAACAGAAGAGGATAATAGTAGTAGTAAATATTTATACTCTGGCTGTGTCCAGAAGTCCTATCAGTAAACTGTCTCCCACATTCTTTCTCTTGTAAATTTTTCACTATAAACCCTGAATTAATAGTCCCATAGGGAAAGAAATTATTATTTATTTATTTAAAAGAATCTTCCCAAATCCTTCATGTGAGTCCCTAGAAATCAGAAAGTTATAAATACTCAACTTCCTACTCTTCTTTTGGCAACAATGCAGCACTTTACCCTGCCTTGCATAGACAAGTCATGTTAAAAATTTGAATCCCGAATCAGTCTGAGGCTTAAGGAAAATGGACCTCCTTGGCTTGTATACTGTAGAAGTTCCTCTGGAGGTGGTATCTACCCCATGCTGCAGGGAGCTGGCTCTGGCCTTCACGCATACACAGTCACACTTACTGTAACAGAATGCTCTGATGCTCCCTTTCCCATCTGAAAATGTCATGAGATATTGCTAGAATACTAAACTAACTATTTTAAATAGTCATAAAATTAACAAATTTAGTAGCTCTAATTGTTAATGAAGAGTTGTTACCTTACTTTTTAGCAGAAAGCTAAAATAATAACTTGGTATTTGGGCCAAAGTATCATTCATTAGAGTCCTCAAGGCTTCCTTTTATTGAGGGACCATTGAAGGACACTTTTTCTTGCAAAATTACATTTTTTAACAGAACTTCATCCACCATATTTTTTCCTTTCATACACAAATCCTGCCTCAAACTAAAAGGACTCTGCAGGAACCCATTTCTATAAGCTTCAATTACTGTTAGGGATTTTTTGTGTTTCAATTTTGCTAGCCATTTAATAATGTGGATAATCTAGATTTCAGAATAGCACAGTGATTACAAATATGTGTTTGTACATATTTGTTGTAAAAACTGTACATTCAAGTATCCTTCTTCCTAAATGAGAAACAGCATGTATTGTGCCTGTTGCATTGATTCTGATTCCTTCTCCTTTTTTGTTTTCGTTTAATGTTTCTCTGTGCAGGTGAAGAAGGGAGAAATATCACACTGATACACTGAGAAAACCCTGTTTCATTGAATTTGCTTATTTGGGACTTCAAGATGGAAGCCTTGTGTTTAAGAGTTTCCTTGCTGCTGCTGGTTCCAGGATTTGCTCTCAGTGACAGCTCTGACAGAGACACCGCCAATAGGAGTGAGCTGGGAAACTACCTTCCCACCTTCTCAGGGATAGAATCCGCTGTACTCCTCACTACCAGGCAGCCCCTGGTGTCCAACCAAACTGTCAAGTGCTCCCAGCAGACTAAAATTGCTGAAACTTTTAAATACATTAACACAGTGGTGTCTTGTGCCATTTTCATCGTTGGAATGGTTGGGAATGCAACTCTACTGAGGATCATTTACCAGAACAAGTGTATGAGGAATGGCCCGAATGCACTGATAGCCAGTCTGGCACTAGGAGACCTTATCTATATTGTCATTGATATTCCTATCATTGTGTACAAGGTAGGACACAACAATGAATACATTTTAATTGCAGTTTCCTTACAAGTTTGCTGTTGTTCGTTGTGATTAATTCTATGTCTAAGTAGTGATTTTTTTTTTTTTTCATTAATGAATAATCATGCAACTTGTTTTTGTTCTACAACAAAAACTTTGCTCTCAGGACTCACCTCCATAAAGAAAAAGTGTATCTTCTTCTAAAGTTTTCTTAGCACTTTACCAAAGCTTAGGCTTGGGTATTTCACAGGAACTGTTCATTTATTATAGTTATTATAGCTTGCAAAAAAATTAAGAGAGTAGACTTCTTTTTAAACTGTTCTCATTAATGGACAAAAAGCATTGGAGCACTTGCTATTTTTAGAATATCCTATCCTTACTTTATGTTTATACAGAAAATATTCTCTGTGATTTGCAGACTTCACGTTATGACTTTGCAGAGAGACATCACATTGGTTGAGTGTTAAGGTTGATTTAATATTCATTAATAGCAGATTTTCAAAAACATTCTAAGCTTAGTAAGGCCAACTTTATCGTGGAACATTTTTGAAATACTAAAATTCATTTGGATTTGTCAAAGTATAAAAAGCATCCTCAGGAACTCTTTTTAACTGGAATAAAGTTATCCTATCCCTTTTTTTTTTTTTTGTTTTGCATTTTAATTAAACAGAGCCATAAAATAGTGTTTTTGCTGATGCATTATATGTTTACTGGTATAAATATAAGATTAACTTGTATGATTTCTGGACAGGCTTGAAATGAATGGAACTGAGCCCTTTTTGAATACATGCGGTAGCTCTTATCTCGGAAGAATCTTGACAGAATTTTGCAAATTGTAATCAAGTATGTCAGCTGATAGGATATTATAATATTTCTTTCTTTTCTTGCTAAAAACTTAAGGCATTTAAGTTAGTAAATAAAACAAGATAAGTTAGTAAATAAAACAAGACACAGTATGATGAAAAAACCCATTCCTTACAATTTTGGCCTTAACAGTTCTTGAGACTTAACTTTAATTTGTATATATTTTACACAGAACATTTTAATGCATAACTTGATAATGAATAGCGTCCTGTGGTTTGAAATTGGATTTTAAAAGTAAAGAAAAAGCTAGTAAATTGACCAGAAAAAAGGTATTTTGTATGTAAATAACTATTAACATCACTATAATGCAGGTATTGATTGGACAAGAGTGTAATAAATTTAAACTCAGTAACAGCTTACAAACATGTAATGTGCATACATTACAGTTGTATAGAGGTGTATAAACTGAGGTATCATGAGGTGCCTGATTTTGATCTTACAGTAGTATAAATTACAGATAAATCTTCTAAGTTTATCTGTTTTTAACATAATGTGAATTTGAAACTAGGAGAAAGATGCATGTGATTTAATGGTTTTGGTTTCCATTTTTCAATTTTTCATCCAGAGAATTAAAATTAAATATTCAATTTGATGTTAGCAGAAGTAAAATATGCTGTAGCATCAGACTGACTCAAAACAATCAGCCTCTGCATGATTTGAGATTCACCACTGTCTTCTATAGCTGTGTGATGCCTAATGGGACATGAGATAGGCTGGACTACATCTCTCACGATACATTACAGTTTCCTCTCTGGGTAATTATGCTGATACCTCTATTTATTTTTCCTGAGATAGAATTTTTACTTCTGGTGGAATTTCTGACAAACTTTAAGAAAAAATGGGATGTGTTTTTTCTGAGCTCAGTTCAGGAGAGAACTAGCATTTTTGTTACACAATATTTTCTAACCTTTCAAGAGCTCTGATGCTTCTTTGCATTCAAACACAATTGGAAATCTGGAATTAATTTTGCCTTTCAGTATTGCCTTTTGGTGGTCTTCTGAACATTCTTTTAAGTTTAGGTAAAAGTAACATAAATATTTTTTACATTCACTTTATTACTTTGCAATACATTTTTTCCGTTAATTTTCTGACACTCCTTTAAGCCTTGTATAGGGCTGGCCTTTCTGTATCTTATATGATGATCTGAACTGTGGTCCTGAATATCCTTATATAAATAAAAATGACCTTCGCCCATATCAAAATATCATTCTGAACTGCAGAGAAGTATTTCATAATTTTAAGGCCATGGATGAAACTGTAGCCCCTTGACATCAATGTATCTCAACTCCAATATGCAAGAAGGCAGAATTAAAATCACATTGACAAGCCTAATTCTAACTTATAGTAAATTTTGAGTGCTTGAATTTTCAAAATGAATTACTTAAAAATTATAGTATCATATACAACCACTTCATTGTGTAAGGTTAGTTACATATATTCTGATACAGAGAAGCATTTGTAGCATTTTCAGTGAAGCCCTACTACTTCCGCTAAGAAATTCTGATATTATTTATAGCATGTTTCATATAAACTATTCAAATATATCTCTACTTATGTTAGGAGCTGATTTTAGACTTTGTTAAATGGCATTCATATTTGAACCTCTAGGGATCCTAAAATCTGTGGCAGCATTTATTTCTCCTTGTCAAGTGACTAGAATCTATGAAGGGTGGTCACCGAAAATATTATTAGAATTTGAAAGTGGAAGTGACAGTCTTTGTAAGCAACATTTTTAAAAAATGGCACTAAAACTTCGTTTTTAAAGTTATTTATACACTCAGTTCTGAACTTTTTTTAAACATTTTTTAATTTCAGAGTTAGCCTTATGTTGAACTATGTACACTTAGTAGTATCCTATAAAAATAGATAGTGTGAAACACTTAATACCTTATAGGCCCAACCTTCATTTTTTAGAAGGGCAAAATTGCTCTGAAATCAGAGTAAACAAGCATTTATCTGCATATTAAAATACACAATAGTACAGTATAATGAAGGAAACAACGCACAGTGCATAGTAATATTTAATGATAATGTGATATTGCAAACAGCTATAATCATTTTCCTGAAACATAAGGAAGGTTTACCTATGTTGAAAATATTTTCAAGATGCAGTAGGTAATATTACTGATATTCAAATCCATTTTACATATCTTTAAAAAGAAGCAGTTATAAGATTATAATAATTGAAACCATAAAGTCCTAGGAGAATTCTGAGTCTATCACTGTGTTATGCATTTACACAGTTATGTGATGCTGCTGGAAAAAAAAATGAAATTACCTATTTTATGTCAGCTAAAGACATACTCACAGCATTTGACATTTTTATCCTTTTTCACTGTACAACAGACTCAAAGTTCTCCTTTACCTTCTCCAATTACTACAATTACATAGTTGATTCCCCCTAGGAATTTGTAAAATGGATTGAAATCACTAATATTCACTAGCCTCCTTTGAAGATATTCCAAATCTATTAAAGTCCTATTATACTTAATTATCTAATATTTCTGCTTTTAGTATTGAATCAATTATAACAAATTGAGTATTACAGGAAGGGTGCCAATTATAAATCCAGCCTCAATGGACTGAAACACTAGTTCTAAGACAATTCCATTTTCAATCACATGTTCATAGGACCTGGGCCTAAATATTTTCCTCTTTCCGCAAACTATACACATCTCGGATATCCACAGTGTCACACCCTGAAGCCTCCAAATCAGTGAGAATTATTGCTTTTCATTGAAAAGAAGACTGGGAAATGTAACGTTCATGTCTTACGGTTTTGTAGAGATAGGGTTAAGCTATTGAAGAATAGATTCATATCTCCTCTTCCAGTTTCAGGTACCCTAGCACTTAGCTGAAAGCTGCTGCATCACCTGCACTACACATCACTGCCACATGCAGATGTTGCAATTTAAGTTTGGACCTAATGCAAGGACACTTCTCCAGAGGACTGCTTTCCATGACAAAATTAGCCAGTTTTCTCAGGCTTTTCATAGGCAAGAGCAGCAGACTATCCATAGCACCACTATCCCTTTGGCTGTGCTAGAGTTCTGAAAGTCCTTTTGGCAGTGGCTGCTATCCCTGGCAAAAGGTTAGCAGTAGCAACAGTAAGAGTAACAGCTGCTCTTCACAGAAAAAAAAAAAACCTCTCCACAGCTTTTTCTTGGTCTTGTGTAGCTAAAATACCCTAGACCCAGGCTCTCACCTTTGGAATGGCAAAATTCGGTTTTAGCTACATTATTGAGAAGTCTTGAGCTGTCTCTCACGTAAAGCTCTCTCTTTTTATATGGTTAGGAGAAAAATGTTTAAATAAGTTCAGTTTATTGAAAATTGACCTACAAAGAATTGATATATGTTATATTGCCTTACGTCTCAAGACTTTATGCCACTAGATTACATAAAAGCAGAGGATGCAAAATAGCCACTTTTAACCTTTTCCTTTAAACGTGATTTACAAACTTTTTCCTAATTATTTTACTGATACAAAGTCAAAGGCATCAACGCAGAAAATAAATGTTTGCGTCCAGTGCTCAGGCAGCTTAACAAGGTGGTGTTTTCTTTTATAGACTATATTTTCTGTTAGTAAGTTGGTATTCATGCTTATATCAATTAGAACAGCATTTAAATATGAGTAGCCCAGCTAAAACACTGTGAGGCTAAATGCTGTAAAAGGTAACTGACAGTAAGCAAACATCTTCAGCCATTTTCTCTTCAGTGAAGAAAGACTTACCTGGGGCATTTCTAGTCATGAACGTTTTCAACATCAGAGAAAATGCATGAGGTGAGGAGTTAGACCAATCTCTTCTTATCTGCTGCACAGATTTTTGATCAAAATTTATTTGGCATATCTAACTGATTGCCTTTACTGTCATAATTAATATTATGCACAAACAAGGACGATAGTAAAACACATTGAGACTGATCCTGTAGACTAATCAAGCAAGTGGCATCCACAGTAGTTACGGAGTTTTGTGCCATAACAAAGGCCAAGCCCACAGTGCACATAAAGTTAAATCTACTTGGAAAAGAAAACCCTTTTTAAAAGCAAAATTTGTCACATACGCTGTGTATTCTTTTTAATTAAGCACAAACATCAGTAGGAAATTCTGAGGCCACCAACTTAACAACTGCGTTCCAACTCT